ATGACATGGTCCGTGGTACAAGTAATATGATGACTGATCGGTATTCGTTTGCCTGTATGCGGATGGGCAAAAGAGGTACTAGTTAGCATGTGGCTGCAGGTCACACATCCAGTACATTTAAAACAGCCTTTCTTCGTAATCCATGTTTTTTTCTTCTTATAACATTGTATTGGATCATTGCGGACCAATAGGTCCCTAAGGTTTCGGTTCCTTTTATAGCTGATCATAGGTCGTTGTTGAAAAATTGAAGGAAGGTTATTATCAGCTTGGATCATGTCCCAATGTCTTAATATAGTATTTTTTATTTTTACAGTTGCTGTATGATAAGTCATAGGTAGAAATAACTGTGTCTTCTTAGATTTTATGTTTTTCTCTGAGCAAAGGCGTTCTCTGGCTTTTTGTTCCGCAGTGTCCAATATATGTGGGGCATATCCCCTATCCAAAAAACGTTGCTTCATTTCAGCCAGTTGAAGATTCATTTGAGGTATGTCACTATTATAACGTAGAACTCTCAGGAACTGCGAAATAGGAAGAGAATCCTTTAGATGTTGAGGATGGAAACTAGTGGCTAATAGAATAGTATTTCTATCAGTTTCCTTGCGGTGTAAAGTATAACCGATTTCACCTGTTTTTTTATATAATAAAACGTCCAAGAAATGAATATGATCCCAATTATAGTTCAGAGTGAATTTTATTGTGGTCGGTAACATATTTAATTGTTGTACCATTTCTTCCAATTCCTGCTGTGAAGTAGTCCATAAGAGAAGGATGTCGTCCACAAATCGAAAATATTTCAATATTTTCTCCGCATATTTTGAAAAAAGATATTGTTGTTCAAACCATGAAATAAAGATGTTGGCATATGTGGGAGCCATAGCCGCCCCCATAGCAGTACAAGATCCTTCAGTTGATCAAGGAGATCCTGAGTGTCTCTGAGACAAAATGGTAACTCTTTGACACAGCCTTGTAAGTAATAATCCACGTATTTGGCAATTGGTTCTAAAAGGCCACCCTTAGCCGACACTATAGGTCTTCCAGGTGGATTTTCACTGTATTTATGGATTTTGGGTAAAGTATACAGGACTGGATGTATACGATGAATCACGTGTAAGTACTTCGCTGTGTTTGAATCCACATAACCAGCTTGCAAGCCAATTCCAATAAGTTGCTGGATCTTTTTTTGGAATGACTGTACAGGATCATAGGTAAGTTTTCGGTAGGTAGATGTGTCATTCAACTGGCGCATAATTTCACATTTATATTGTTGATACGATTGGATCACAACTCCTCCTCCCTTATCTGCAGGGCGAATAACAATATTTGGATCTTCCCGAAGATCTTGAAGTGCTGCTGTTTCATCGGGTGTTAAATTAGGTCTGTATTTAGATGGTTTTTTTTATAATGTTTAACGCATCTTTCTGTATGGTCTGTACAAAAGTTTTAAAAGTCATATTATTAGATTTAATATCTTTCTTCTCTTTAATGATAAAAGGACATGGTTGGTATATAGGACTTTCTTTTCTGTATTCATTAGCATACAGGGTACGTTGTAGTTTATACATATCAATTTCAACAGAAAATGCCTGAGGTTTTTTAACCGGAATAAACGTTAAACCTTTACTAAGAAGACTGAGATGTGCTTTAGTCAATAATTTATCAGAAAGGTTAAACACTACGGACGTCTCTTCTGTGATGGGGGTTTTGCAGCTGTGTTGGCATATCTGGTGACCCTTTTTCCCTCGCCTGGGTGGTCTCTTTTTTCTGTGCCGCTGACTTCTGTACTCATGCCTGGGGGATCCTGGTGATGGATGCCCGTTCCTAAAAAAGGTTCAGTACTCAACTGTTGTCTAATGTCTTTGGACTCTGCGTCAGAAGCCGATTCCCCTGAACTAATATCGATCGTCTGTAAGGGAGGTCTGGAGATACGAGGTCTAAATCTGGGGGGAGCATTCCTGGTGTTCGTGTCCATACCACTTAACCATCTATACACCTGATGGTGTGTATAGTCGTGGTTAACTTTTGTTTTTTAAAACGAATTAGATCATTCTGATATTTATGGATATCATCTTGTAATTTAATCAACATCTCATTCGCGGTTGGTGCTTGTAAGGAAGTGACATTAGTTGCTTCAAACTCCTGAATGGATTTTTTCACTTGGATTAACTCCTTCCCGACCTCCTCAACCACTATGACCATCCAATCTAATGAACACTTATTAGCAATATTCATCCAGCGTTTGCAAAAATCTGGATTTTGTCTCCCAATAGTAGGGGCGTTTCTGACTCTGAATCCTCTAGGGATTCTTTTGGCACGGTAGTAATCCGATATAAAAACTCCGTGCAGGTCCAAATCTATCTCACGTCTTTTTAACTTATGTAGATCATTATATAATTCTTTAGGTGTATTAGTGTGTGAGAGATCTTTAGTGGACCGAGGCCATAAAACAGATAAAGCATGTTCATCACCATTTTGTGTGGATTAATTTTTTTCACTTATGTGACACTTTTCTTCATTTGCATGTTATAACACAATTGTTCTCATTTTAGTTTCATCTATCTCTGGCAACATTTATCACTTTATTATGTTGATAGTTAACACTATCAACTTTCCTTCACTGTAACTTGTTTCTCCTGCGCTTGCCATGGTAACTGTTTGTGCACTCACACCATGGTAACGGTTTCCCTCCGTCGGACGTCCGATCACGTGACGTTCCGTGCGGCTTCCAATCACTTCCGGGTTCTAACGGGCAGACACCCTTCACCTCACTGCTCTATTGGGTAAGTGCACACACATATATTTTTATATTTAATATATATACACTGTATTGTTATGCACCTAATGATCTTGAAAAAGACCCGGCAGGGTCGAAACGTCGATTGATTTTCGTTGTATATCACGTATGGATTAATAAAGCACCAGTTTTTTCCTTATATTTGAAGACCTGTGAGTGCATCTTGAATTTTTTATTCTTATATTATTGACGCTTAAGATTTGCACCCAGGCAAATAGTATATTGATTTTCTTTTTTAAGGAGAGTGCCAAGCCAAGCCATCATCTCTTTATATATATATATATATATATATATATATATATTTTTAGTATATCCCCTGCACTCACGCTTACAAAATAGTCCAATGCCGGGCGCACCACCAGAGCTCCAAGATATGTAAAGACCAACAGGAAGGAAGGCTGCTCTCCGGACTATAAAACAAAAAAGTTTATTCAGATAATATTAAAAATCACGACCAACGTTTCGGTCCCCGCTCGGGACCTTCCTCAGGGTCAAAAATAGGACAACAAGACAATACAGTATAGTGCATCAGTGATCAATATATACTGAAATATACAATCAAATTACTCACTCAGGTGTGTTCCCGTGCGTTCCCGCCAGCACCCTGTGCTCTTCCGGGTATGTGCGCGCATCCTTGTGCGTCACACCCTCTCAAATTACGTGTCTACGTGTCGGATCTCCCGTCACCCAGGCAACTATGTAAACAAAGCAGCCTGCTAATGCGAGCCAGTGCAGCATCGGAACAACGGATAGAACTATATATATATGAGTGAAGATATAAGAGTGCTTAAAAGTGCTAGATATATAAGGATAATCCAATCAAACAAGGATGAAAATAAGCTGATTAATAGCTATGCTTGTCATAAAACACTATATAGGCATTAATATAACTTAATGCCCAAATAACATAAATTAACCCCTTAAAGGTATAGTAATATTACAGTGGAGCAAAACAATGCCATATTATAATTCATATATAGAGTGTATACAGTGATATAAAGTGCTAGTGATATCAATAAAGTGCTAGTGATAAAGTGCAAATTCAAAAGTGCTTAACAGATCAAAGTACAATACACTATCCATATATATGACACAATAACATACATATAATAACAACTCCTGTTACTTTCTATAAATTAAAAACAAAGCATAAAAAATAGCTAGCTGTTAACCTTTATACAAAAGAATGATATGTATTGCTTTCATTCAACCCCATAGGAGCCACCGTGTTCAATTGATGGATCCAAAAGGTCTCCTTTTGGAGCAGCATCTTTCCTCTATCACCACCTCTACGGGGGGGAGGGATTTGGTCTATACCCACAAATTTCAATGGTGACAATGGGTGCTTTTTGTCAAAAAAGTGCTGAGCAACCGGTTTATCCAATAGTCCATCCCTGTAAGATAATCTGATGCTCGAACGGTGACCTCTGATCCTTTCGCATAACTGTGTCTCCGTTTTACCCACATAGTGGAGTCCACACGGACAAACTAATTTATATACAACAAACTGGGTCCTGCAAGTGATGGTGTGTTTTATGTCATACATCTTATTCGTGTGGGGATGATTGAATTTCTTCGCTGGAATCATATGTCCGCACGTCACACACCCACGTATGTTGTATTTAACTGTTCCTGAATAGCTTTCAACTGAATCAGTATGGACCAGTATGTCTCTAAGGCTTTTATTCTTTTTATAACAGATAAGTGGTCTTTCCTTAAAAATCTTTGGCAGTGTGTCGTCCGCTGAAAAAATCTTCCAATTATCCTTAACTATGGCTGATACATGGCTAGATGAATTATGGAAGGTCATCGATGATTATTATTATTATTATTTTGTATTACCAAAAATACATAAAGACATTAATAATCCACCTGGTAGACCAATAGTCTCTGGAATTGGATCACTTTTATCTCCTTTATCCCAGTATATAGACCAATTTTTACAAAAAATGGTTGTTAAATGTTCAGCGTATTTGAAAGATACAATGAGTTTATTACAAATTCTAGAGGACTTTAAATGGCAAAATGACTTTATTATGGCAACGTGTGATGTAAGTAGCCTATATACTTTAATTCTACAACATAAAGGATGTGAGGCTATTAGGTTTTATCTGGAAAAATTGGAGGATATGAACAACCTTCAAATGGATTTTTTAATAAAGGGAATCATTTTTATCTTACAGAATAATTTTTTTTGGTTTGAAATTTTTTTTATCTCCAAATCCAAGGTATGGCTATGGGGACCAGATTTGCCCCAAGTTATGCCAATCTTTTTATGTCCTCCTGGGAGGAGAAATGTGTCTTCTCCAGGGAGGACATTGGGGCAAGTCTGGTCCTATATAGATGTTATATAGATGATATCTTTATAGTTTGGAAAGGGAGTAAGGAAACCCTAGAAGAATTTATTTTATCTCTCAATAAAAATATTTTTAATATTAGTCTATCTTATGAAATTAGCCCTCAACAAATTAACTTTTTAGATTTAAATATATATGTAGAAAATAATCTAGTTAAAAGTAAGACTTTTTTTAAAAACAGTTGATGTAAACAGTTTTATTGATTTAAGAAGTTGCCATTTTAAACCATGGTTGGAGAATATACCAAAAGGCCAGTTCTTAAGGATGAAAAGAAATTGCACAGAGAAAAAATAATATTTTAAAAGAATTTTTTTTTTTTTTTTAGAAAGGGTTATGACATCGGACAAGTAGAAAAAGAAATTAGTGAGAAAGAAAGGCAATCCCTCTTGAAATATAAAATTAGGGAAAGAAAAGAGATAGATATGAAAGAAAATGAAAAAGAAAAAATCCCTTTAATTTTTAATTTTAGTTCTAATAATAATTTTTTACGTAGAATTATCAAAAAACACTGGCATATACTTAAAGAAGACCATGAAATACTTCAGTTTTTAGATGTTCAACCAAAATTTATTTTTAGAGGAGCAAATAATTTTAGAAAAAGAAAATGTTCAAATAGAAGGTAATTTTTTGAAGGAAAGTAAAGGGTTTCACTACTGTGGTATGTGTAGAGGATGTAATTTTAGAAATAAGAAGAATAGAAAAACAGAAAAGTTCTCTTCCTCCGTCACAAAAAAATAATATCCGATTAAAATCGTTCATTACGTGTTCCAGTAAAGATGTAATTTACATGTTGATTTGTCAATGCGGATTTCAATATGTGGGCAAGACGTCACTTACTTTAAAAACAAGAATTAGGGAACATATCTATAGTGATGTCGCGAACCGAAAATTTCGGGTGCCAAATGTTGGCGAACCGCCATAGACTTCAATGGGCAGGCAAATTTTAAAACACACATGGACTCTTTCTGGCCACAATAGTGATGGAAAAGTTGTTTCAAGGGGACTAACACCTGGACTGTGGCATGCCGGAGGGGGATCCATAGCAAAACTCCCATGGAAAATTACACAGTTGATGCAGAGTCTGGTCTTAATCCATAAAGGGCATAACTCACCTAACATTCCTAAATCACAATGGATATGGATTGACACCTGACATATGACATATTGACACCTTGACATATAGATTCACACCTGTCCTCAGAGACCCTGATACACACTGACACAGAGCAGAATAGAAACTGTTCCCCCTACATAGGGTCACTTGACAGATATGGATTGACACCTGTCCTCAGAGACCATGATACACACTGACAAGGAGCAGAATATAAACTGTTCCCCCTACATAGGGTCACTTGGCAGATATGGATTGACACCTGTCCTCAGAGACCATGATACACACTGACACAGAGCAGAATAGAGACTGTTCCCCCTACATAGTGTCACTTGGCAGATATGGATTTACACCTGTCCTCAGAGACCATGATACACACTGACACAGAGCAGAATAGAGAATGTTCCCCCTACATAGGGTCATTTGGCAGATATGGATTGACACCTGTCCTCAGAGATCATGATACACACTGACACAGAGCAGAATAGAGACTGTTCCCCCTACATAGGGTCACTTGGCAGATATGGATTGACACTGTCCACAAGGACAAGCTGCAGGCTTCCTGGCAGGGCCAATACAAGGTGGTAGAGCAGGTTTGTGATACCACCTTTGTGATCGGTGCAGTCACAGGCACGGGAGGCAAGCGCATGCTCCATGTGAACATGCTCAAGCCATACCACGAGCGCACGGAAAAGGTAACCGCGATCTGTGCACCTGCCACTGAAGATTATGATAATTTGCCACTCCCAGATCTCCTAGACCTAGAGGGCCAGAGCGGAGACCTGGGAGAAGTACAGTTAGGAGAACGGTTAGACCCCCAGGAGCGAACCAAGGTCCAAAGACTAATCCAGGACAAGGGGGCCACGTTTTCCAACCTACCTGGGTACAGTCCTTTAACCACTCACAAAGTTGAAACCGTAGACCAGACCCCCCTTTGCCAAACCGCCTATTGCATACCCGAAGCAGTTAAAGAAAATATGCGGAAAGAAATTGAGGAAATGATGCAGTTAGGGGTGATAGAACACTCTGACAGCCTCTGGGCCTCCCCTGTAGTACTAGTACCGAAACGGGACGGCACGACCCGTTTCTGTGTAGACTACCGAAGGCTAAACGATAAAACAACCTCAGACGCCTACCCTATGCCCCGGATAGACGAGCTCCTAGACAAAATGGCCAGAGGCCAGTACCTCACCACAATAGATCGGTGCAAGGGGTACTGGCAAATTCCATTAGCCGAGGACGCCATCCACAAGTTGGCATTTGTCACCTCGTTTGGCCTGTATCAGCTTAAGGTCATGCCATTCGGGATGAAGAATGCCCCGGCTAACTTTCAGAGGATGGTAAATCGGCTACTGGATGGGTTTCAGGAGTATGCCTGCGCATACTTTTAGCTGCTCCTGGCCCAAACACCTGGCCCACATAGGAGCCGTACTAGACCGAATTAGGGAGGCCGGACTGACCCTAAAGCCCAGTAAGTGCCATATAGGAACGCGTAAAAACCTCCCCAAGATAGTAGTATGGGCCCCAGAGTGTGAACAGGCCTTCCAACAGCTCAAGATGGCGCTCATTAAATCACCTGTACTTTCTGCTCCTGATCCAACTAAACGCTTTCTCGTCCATACAGACGCTTCTATGTTTGGATTGGGAGCAGTACTGAGCCAAGTCGGAGCAGATGGCGGCGAGCAACCCGAGGCTTATCTAAGCCGGAAACTTTTGCCCAGGGAAGTAGATACACTGCCATTGAAAAGGAGTGCCTGGCGGTGGTGTGGGCCCTCAAAAAGCTGCAACCTTGCTTGTATGGACAACCGTTTACCTTACTCACAGATCACAACAAATTTGGGGCACTGCGCGTGCAATCTAATGTGCCACCAGATAGGAGTGGTGTGTTAAGTAGTACTATTCTTAGCAGTTTAATCCCTGTTACGTCCCCTATCAGGGGACGTGTATATGGCATCGATTTTAGGAACTGGGAGATGGAAAAAGATGCTTGGTCGGTCCTCCTCCTTCAAATTTGGGGCACTGCACGTGCAATCTAATGTGCCAACAGATAGGAGTGGTGTGTTAAGTAGTACTATTCTTAGCAGTTTAATCCCTGTTACGTCCCCTATCAGGGGACGTGTATATGGCATCGATTTTAGGAACTGGGAGATGGAAAAAGATGCTTGGTCGGTCCTCCTTCTTCAAATTTGGGGCACTGTGCGTGCAATCTAATGTGCCACCAGATAGGAGTGGCACTGTGAACTGGCACAGTATCCACTGTGAGCCTGACACACCCGCTTTGAGACAACTAACTGCTATTCAATCTATAACAGTGAAAAAAGTTTTTTGTTTTTAAATGCATGCTATTGTGAGACCAGATATGAGTGATGGCACTGACTGGGCAAATGGGCACAGTATCCACTGTGAGCCTGACACAGAAGCTGGCAGCAGTGGCAGACAACTAACTGCTATTCAATCTATAACAGTGAAAAAAGTTTTTTGTTTTTAAATGCAAGCTATTGTGACACCAGTGAGTGAGTGGTGGCACTGGGCACAATATCCACTGTGAGCCTGACACACCCGCTTTGAGACAACTAACTGCTATTCAATCTATAACAGTGAAAAAAGTTTTTTGGTTTTAAATGCATGCTATTGTGACACCAGTGAGTGAGTGGTGGCACTGGGCACAGTATCCACTGTGAGCCTGACACACCCGCTTTGAGACAACTAACTGCTATTCAATCCATAACAGTGAAAAAAGTTTTTTGTTTTTAAATGCAAGCTATTGTGACACCAGTGAGTGAGTGGTGGCACTGGGCACAGTATCCACTGTGAGCCTGACACACCCCCTTTGAGACATTTAACTGCTATTCAATCTATAACAGTGAAAAAGTTTTTTGTTTTTAAATGCAAGCGATTATGACACCAGATATGAGTGGCACTGTGAACTGGCACAGTATCCACTGTGAGCCTGACACACCCGCTTTGAAACAACTAACTGCTATTAAATCTATAACAGTGAAAAAAGTTTTTTGTTTTTAAATGCAAGCTATTATGACACCAGATATGTTTGGAACTGTGAACTGGCACAATATCCACTGTGAGCCTGACACACCCGCTTTGAGACAACTAATTGCTATTCAATCTATAACAGTGAAAAAAGTTTTTTGTTTTTAAATGCAAGCTATTGTGACACCAGTGAGTGAGTGGTGGCACTGGGCACAGTATCCACTGTGAGCCTGACACACCCGCTTTGAGACAACTAACAGTGAAAAAAGTGTTTTGGTTTTAAATGCAAGCTATTGTGACACCAGTGAGTGAGTGGTGGCACTGGGCACAGTATCCACTGTGAGCCTGACACACCCGCTTTGAGACAACTAACTGCTATTCAATCTATAACAGTGAAAAAGTTTTTTGGTTTTAAATGCAAGCTATTGTGACACCAGTGAGTGAGTGGTGGCACAGGGCACAGTATCCACTGTGAGCCTGACACACCCGCTTTGAGACAACTAACTGCTATTCAATCTATAACAGTGAAAAAAGTTTTTTGGTTTTTAAATGCACGCTATTGTGACACCTGTGAGTGAGTGGTGGCACTGGGCACAGTATCCACTGTGAGCCTGACACACCCGCTTTGAGACAACTAACTGCTATTCAATCTATAGCAGTGAAAAAAGTTTTTTGTTTTTAAATGCAAGCTATTATGACACCAGATATGAGTGGCACTGTGAACTGGCAGAGTACACGCTGTAGGGCTGACACACCCGCTTTGAGACAACTAACTGCTATTCAATCTATAACAGTGAAAAAAGTTTTTTGTTTTTAAATGCAAGATATTGTGACACCAGATATGAGTGGCACTGTAAACTGGCAGAGTACACGCTGTAGGGCTGACACACCAGCTTTGAGACAACTAACTGCTATTCAATCTATAACAGTGAAAAAAGTTTTTTGGTTTTAAATGCATGCTATTGTGACACCAGTGAGTGAGTGGTGGCACTGGGCACAGTATCCACTGTCAGCCTGACACACCTGCTTTGAGACAACTAACTGCTATTCAATCTATAACAGTGAAAAAAGTTTTTGGGTTTTAAATGCAAGCTATTGTGACACCAGTGAGTGAGTGGTGGCACTGGGCACAGTATCCACTGTGAGCCTGACACAGACGCTGGCAGACAACTAAATGCTATTCAATCTATAACAGTGAAAAAAGTTTTGGGGTTTTAAATTTAAGCTATTGTGACACCAGTGAGTGAGTGGTGGCACTGGGCACAGTATCCACTGTGAGCCTGACACACCCGCTTTGAGACAACTAACTGCTATTCAATCTATAACAGTGAAAAAAGTTTTGGGGTTTTTAAATGCACGCTATTGTGACACCAGTGATTGAGTGGTGGCACTGGGCACAGTATCCACTGTGAGCCTGACACAGACGCTGGCAGACAACTAACTGCTATTCAATCTATAACAGTAAAAAAAGTTTTTGGGTTTTAAATGCAAGCTATTGTGACTCCAATGAGTGAGTGGTGGCACTGGGCGCAGTATCCACTGTGAGCCTGACACAGACGCTGGCAGACAACTAACTGCTATTCAATCTATAACAGTGAAAAAGTTTTTTGGTTTTAAATGAAAGCTATTGTTACAC